ACCAAGATGACTGCCCTCCGACATCATGATGGATCTATCACATCTTCCGGAAGGGCAATGGAGAAGATTATTCATGACTTCTACTCAGATCTCTTTAATAGCCACATCCACTTGCCCACATACCACATACCACATGATGGATATGTCGTTCCCAATGTTCTCCCTTCCGAAATCCAACATGCCATCTCGTCGGTAAAGAAACAAAGAGCACCTGGCCCAGACAAGATCAGACCTGAACACCTGAAGAACTTACCATCAGTACTCATCAATACATTGACTCGACTCTTCACACGCTACCTGTCTGAACACAAGGTTCCATCCCAATGGAAAACCAGCAGGACTGTACTACTATACAAGAAAGGAGACATCCATGACATTGGCAACTATCGCCCAATCTGCCTATTGTCTGTCATCTACAAACTATTCACTCGAGTCATCCTGAATAGGATTAGCAGAACACTAGATGAAGGACAACCATGTGAACAAGCTGGATTCCGAAAAGGATTCAGTACCATCGACCATATCCACACAATAACCAAGCTCATTGAGGTATCTCGGGAGTTCAAGATGCCGCTCTGTCTAACGTTCATTGATTTAAAGAAGGCCTTTGATTCTGTTGAGACAGAAGCGGTCATGGAAGCCCTAGCCAATCAGGGGGTACAAACTCAATACATCAGGATCCTTCGTGAGCTCTATTGCGGATTCACTACCAAGATCTCACCATTCTACAAAGAAGTAATCATCCATATCAAGAGAGGGGTTCGGCAGGGTGATACCATTTCACCAAAACTCTTCAGTGCCACCCTCGAGAACATCATGCGACGACTGGAATGGGAAAACATGGGAGTGAAGATAGATGGTCAGCAACTACACCACCTCCGCTTTGCTGATGACATCGTTCTAATAACACCAAACATCAACCAAGCGGCACAAATGCTGAACGACTTTGACTGTGAATGTGGAAAGGTCGGACTACAGCTGAATCTTACGAAGACAATGTTTATGAGAAACAGCCTTGTTCCTGACTCTCCATTCGCTCTCAACGGAACCACCATCTCCGAATGCAACAGTTATATATACCTAGGTCGAGAAATCAATATGATGAATGACCTGGCACCTGAGTTGCGCAGGAGGAAGAGAGCGGCTTGGAATGCCTTCAAGAGCATTGAAGAAATAACTAAAAGGACAAAGAACCTCCAGCTACGAGCACATCTCTTTGATTCCACTATTCTTCCTGCATTAACATATGCCTCAGAGACCTGGACCCTACGAAAACAGGATGAGAACACTATTCGGGTCTCTCAAAGAGGAATCGAAAGAACTATGCTTGGAATATCACGATTCACTCAAATGAGAGATAGAATCCGGAGTTCTGATCTTCGTCAACGCTCAAGAATCAGGGACGCTGTCTCATTTGCCAAGACATCAAAAATCAGATGGGCTGGACACGTAATGAGGTTTACAGACAACCGCTGGACTAGAGCCATTACTGATTGGATTCCACGAGACATCAAAAGATCACGTGGATGCCCACCTATAAGATGGTCAGACTTCTTCGTCAAGACCCTAAATGATCGGTTTGAGGCTCTACATATTCCTAAAACGAACAGATACCATTGGGCTACGCTAGCACGCAACCGGGATGAATGGAGACGTTACTGGCACCCGCTCAAATAAATCGATGAATAACGGAGATTAAGTGATTAAATGATATATTTATATGTATATATATTCAGTTTACTGCCATACATTTAGTGCTTCAACATGCCAGAGAGTTTGCCAACACTGTTTCTAAAAGACTGGTTTTAAACACATGGTCATTTGCTGTGAATAGAATTCAGGCCTTTCCCCACTGGTGTCTTGTATCATTCTATTTGTTCAACCTTACCTTTCTAGGAAAGAATCACTGCTTTATCTGATACTTGTTCAAAAATACCTGTTCAAAGGGAAATAAGTTACATGGATGGATTTATTTTCCAATGGAAGATGGGAACTTAAAGTATAAATAAGTAGTGGGAAAATAAAGAATGGTTTTTATATTTTTGAGAAAAAGTCATAGTTGAGTCTGATTTTTGCACCTAACAACTTTTGTTATCACTCATCAAATTTTGATAAAAATATGATTAACTACTCACTAAACACGCGGTCTGGGAAATTGTGATTTTTTTCTGTTATTTTAGATACTGCATATTTGAAAATTACATTGTACTTCATAAAGGTTAGTGGTTGTTTACAGCTTCATGAGTTTACTAAAATAATTCCTGGAAAACCAGGGAGAGATAATTATAGAATTAATGCAGTTGAGCATTAGAGCTATCAAAATCAGAGTTAATTTTAAAATGTGTTTATTGAAGCAGTCATGATTTATACTTTCAAAGATTTCAGGTGTGTATCATTATAAATCAACATCTGTGTATGTACATTATGTTCACCACTAAAAACCTAATTAAGCTTTCTAAATTTGATTATTCTAGCTAAAATTTATTTATTGTATTCATCGGCCACCCTCCAGAACTCACTGCTGCTTCTCCCGGAAGGGAGCATAAAATGAGGCCCTATAACCATGCCACCGGACTCCACGCCAGGTTGTTTTCACTCAGGGAACCCCAGACAGGGGCGGGTGAGAGCCTTACCCGCCCCAAGGGACCCAGCCCTGGCAGCCAGCCTCCACTACCCAACCTCCGCCATGCTCCAGGTGCTTTCCACATGCTCGTGTAGGGCCTCACATATGAGTGAACATATTCCTGGACCACATAGCTGCGACATATCATAAGATACTCCCTATTCATTTTTCCATAATTACCACACTATATTTGATGGGATTCAGACACCAGGCAACAAATCATAGAGGAAAATAAATATATGTATATATATATATTTATATACATAAATATATATAAATACTATATATGAATATATAAATAAATAATAATACATAATACATAAATACATAAATATATAAATATTTTATATATATATATCTTGGAGAGCCTGGAAAGCTACTGAGAGTATCCTGCCCACATGGCAGAGCCTGGCAAGCTACCCATGCCATATTATATATGCCAAAAACAGTAACAAATATGGGTCTCATTCCCCTGACCCTGAATATGGCAATATGGCCTCGAATATGGCAGCGTTGGGAAAGACGAGTAAGGAGAGGCTGCTAAAACCTCAGGACTGGCATGAATGGAGATGTTACTGGTGTTCACTCGAGTACATCGATGAACACAATGGGATGACAGTGATACAGTGATACAATTTATTTATAGCTAGATTACCTCTCTACTTTGTTCTTATTTTTTTAAAAAATTAACTACTTACTCTGATTTTTCTATAGTTTACTCTATGACCAGTGTCCTTTTTCTATCAGAGGATATCTCCTCTTTTACCTAAGAAAACCTTTTTTCAAGTAAAGAAATTTCAGAACTAATCTTTAGGACATAGTATATTGAAATGTGAACTCAGATTCTTGGGATCTTAAAGTCTTTTTTTTTTTATTAGTGAGACATCATGAGGTGCAGTTGTAGACTTACAAATTTTTGTGCTTGGGTTTCAATTATACAATGATCAAATACCCATCCTTCCACCAGTGCCTATTTCCCACCACCATGGATCCCAGTATCCCTCCCAACCCCCATCCCCCCCATCCCACCCTGCCTCTGTGGCAGGGCATTCCCTTTTGTTCTCTCTCTCTTATTGGGTGTTGTGGTTTGCAAAAGAGGCAATGGGTGACAATCATGTTTGGTCTATAGTCTACTTTCAGCATGCTTCTCCCATCCTGGGAGGATCCTCCCAACACCTTTATTTGGTGTTCCCCTCTCTATCTGAGCTACCTTTTCCCCTAACCTGTGTGGTTGGCCTCCAAGTCATGGAGTAAACTTCCTGGTACTAATCTCGGCCATTCTTGGGTATTAGTCTCCTATTTTGTTACTTTATGTTCCCCAGATGAATGCAATCCTTCTATGTCTATCCCTTTCTTTCTGAGTCATTTCGCTTAACATGATACTTTCCATGTAGTACCACTTGTATGTAAATTTCATGACTTCCTCTTTTCTAACAGCTACATTAGTACACAGTACTCCATTGTGTAAATATACCAAAGTTTCCTTAAAGTCATTTTAAAGCAAAAAAACTTGAAATTTTATTTTATTGTGTTTAAAAACAATTTTTAGCCATACTTGGTGATGCTTATTCCTGGCTCTGTGCTCAGGAGTCACTCCTGGCAGTAGTCAAGGGATTATATTCAATGCTCAAACCCAAGCAAGGTAAATTGCATACACAGCAAGTACTTTAACCCTTTTACTATCATCCCTCTGACTCCATATCTTGGCTTTTTAATGAAATTTTCCTTTCCATAATTGATGAAGTAGTGTGACATGATTAAAAACTTAATATATTAATGTATAACTAAGTTAATTCAGTTCCACCCAATAACTATTATTTTCATGCTTCTGAAATATGCCACATAGCTTGTGTTTTTGTGCAAAAGAAAGACATTATTTTATGTTCTCAGACACCAAAGAGAAAACTCAGATTGTAAAATCAACCAAGTATACAAGCCTTTTAATCATTAAGCACTTTAGCTTGTTAGAAGCTTCTGACATTTCTGTATAGAAAATAATGTAATTAGTCTTAGTGTGGTTTAAATGCCAGAAACTTGTGAGCAGTTTTAAGGAAGTGAAATGAAAGAGAAAGATACAGGGAGACAGAGAGACAGAGATGAAAAAAAAGCTGTTTATAACTTAGTTTTTGGACATGTAGTTTTATAAGATTCATATCCATTGAACATTTGAACTCAAAAATAAATAGGAATAAATAGGAATATTAGTATTCATTAAAAGTAAAGTTTTATCTTAATTATCAAATAAATACTGAAAACATATGAAAATAGAGTACATTTAAAAGTTGTATTTTATTCCTAAGGCAAACAGCATAAATCATTGATACTGGCTTTTATCACGGATTTGAGGTCCTAACTGTTTTCTTGATCTTCCATTCAGGGAATTTATCACTAGCCTTCGACTGTATAGGACATTCTATGGAGGCCTGGCTGACCAGCTTTGTGTCAATGAATTAGCAGCTGCTGATGGACTGCCTTGCTGGAACGGGGAAGACATAGTAACCAGGTACTTTCTGTCTGTGCACATTTTGGCTGCTTTACTCCTTGCCTTCTTTTCCTAGCTCTTGAATGGATCACTTCCATTTGAACTTTAACATACAGGTTGGAGTATAAATAAATTTCAGATTTAAGTGTGTTAAAAAAGGGAGTCGATCTCTTTTTGACATTTTAGAACTATGAGAGTATTTTGTGGCATTTGAATGTTTTTCTTCTGTTCTACTGACTTAGGATGCCTCCAATTCTACTCTTTTTTTTTTGGCTTTTTGGGTCACACCCGGCAAAACATGGGGGTTACTCCTGGCTCTGCATTATACTGGCGGTGTTCAGGGGACCATATGGGATGCTGGGAATTGAACCCTGGTCGGCCGCATGCAAGGCAAACACCCTACCCACTGTGCTATCGCTCCAGCCCCAATTCTACTCTTTCAATGAAATGTTATGTGTCTCTGATCAAGTCAGTTTGTTTATGACATAACACACCAATTTTTAGTTTAATCTTGGTTCTCTATTTATGAGCAAGAGAAGAAATTTGGATGAATCATGAATACCTAACCAAAGGTTCATTGATGCGTGGATGTATGTTTAACTCATTATGCATCTATTATGTAATTGATTTTTATGCATTTCTCCATAATCGTGGGGATATTTTTATGAATGGATACCTGAACCAATGTTTGATTGCAATCTGTCAGTTGTTCTCAAACTGATTGATATCTAACTTTTAATTCTTTATTCATTATCTAGAATTTAAAAATGTCTTTATTTTTTGTTTCCCACAACTGATTTTAGTTACAAGTAGTCAAATCTTTTTGTTGTTGATGTTTGTTTTGTTTTAGTTTGGAGGCCACACACAATAGTGCACAGGGCATATTCCTAGCTCTAAATTCAAGGTTCACTCCTGGGGGTCTCAGGGACTATATGGAGTTCGAGGGATTAAACCTGGGTCAGCCAGTGTTCAGTATAATTGGTTGGGAGATTGATCTGGATATTGCTATACCAAATAGGCTTTGTGTTGCATTTGGTTTTTAAATGCTATCTTGTTTTTTACTTTGAGCAATCTGCAAAAGAAAAGAGAATGCTAAACTCTGATTTAAAAACATTCCTACACCCCATAGAGATAGGTGATTTAATTAGTACAAGAGTCATGAGTTCATTTAAAATGACATTTAGAAAATTATATTTATTATGATAAAGATATACCAAAATATTATGAATTTTTATAATAAGTATAAATTTTTGTGTTATAATATATAATAATTAAAAATCTCATAAATATTCATAAATTTATGGGATTTTTAATTATTCTATCACATAAAATAAATGATAGAAGACAGAAATTATGATTCAACTTAAAATATTTGGTCAACCTAGTTAGTGGTCATTTTCATTATAATTTTTAAAGATATTTTCTAAATGGACATTATGCATTTTTATTTTGTTCTTTTTTTTTGCCTTTTGGGTCACACCCGTTGATGCACAGGGGTTACTCCTGGCTCATGCACTCAGGAATTACTCCTGACAGTGTTTGGGGGACCATATGGGATTCTGGGAATCGAACCCAGGTCGGCCTAGTGCAAGGCAATGCCCTACCCGATGTGCTATTGCTCCATCCCCCAGTATGCATTTTTAAATTTTATTAAAAATAGTGTTCAGAGAGATAGTAATGGGTTAAGCTGCTTGCCTTGAAGATAGTTGACCCCTGTTTGCTTCTTGACACTGTATATGGTTCCCCAAGCTCTGCCAGGAGTTAGCCCATAGCTAGGAGTGAGCCCTGATCACTTCTGGGTATGACTTATCAAACAAAACCAAAGAAAAATAAGAGTAATTATGATATGCCTGGAACTTTAAATTCTTATATGGCATATTAATACCACTTCCTCACTTAGATTCATTTCATTCTACTTTGACTTATACTTCTTTTCCTGACATTATTCAAACTGAAATCAAACTTTCATATGTTCTACATTCTTTCATGCCAATCTCAGAGGTCCTGCGTGAAATGTTATATGACCTTTTGTAAAGGAGCTTGGTGATTATTTCTGCAGGAATTTTTCCTTAAAGGCAAGCTTTTAATACAGGATAATTGATAAGATTATGTATGTGCATAGATTTGTTGTCTAAAAAAGGTGCAGAGAACCATGGTCGTGATTGTTTCACTAGTAAAGCAGCTCTGTATTATTGGTGATGTTCTTTGCGGTCATTAAAAAATTGGAACTCCTTTGTGATTGTAAATTTAAAGAATCATATCTCTGTTGTAAATGAGGAACATTTCACTCATGAAAAACAATTTATTTTCATTCAGATGATTCTTCTGACTCATGCATGCCATAACAACTACCTAAAATGTTGAGGCCAGTAGGTTTTTTTTAAATTATTTATTTAAAAGAATTTAAAATGAATAAAAGAAATAACCAAACTTAAAAAAAATTACCTGTTTAGAAGACTGGCAGGAAGTGGTGGTAAGTAATAGGAAACCTAGGGACATTCCTGGAGGGATGTTGACACTTGTAGTGGCATTGCTATTGTAGCATTGTCTGCCTGAAATTCTACTATGAGCAGCATTGTAAATCAGTGTACCTTGAATGAATAAATAAATGAAGTAAGAAAGCATTTAGTTTTGACAAACATATGATTCTAACATTCTGGCTAAATAAGAAAGAAAGAAAATGTATTACTGACTTCAGTGTAGTCTCCATCTCATAAAGTCCTTCTGAATCATCTCTCCTTTCTCTTCATTATGAAATGTTATTTTCTTTAAAAGACACGCCAGGCTCTTCTTTGTCTTCTGTTCTCTGTGATGGAAAATTGATTGTGTGTGATGGTTTCCACTCCTCTTTCTCCCTATTGAAGTTCAGGTGAGAGCTAGTTAACTGCTGTAACTTCCCTTTCCCTTTTGATTAAGTGGCAGATAATTCAGTAACTCTTCCTCAATTTCCAGGAGTTTATGACCTCCACCAACAGTCCTACACTAGTCAGTTTAATAGCTGTTAAGTATCCTAGTAAAATTATATACTATGTGATTTCTATTCATCTTGATTTATGCTTCTAAATGCTTCTTTCATAAGCCATGTTTTCTATTTTTATTAGAGTAACAGATTCTAATTGAATTCTTTAATCATATATAATACAAAATGTTGTATTTTATAAAAATACAAAATCTGAGATTTTATTCTTATATTTGTGGTTTTCTTTTCTACCCAGATATGAATGCATGAGTACCATGGATGTATTTTTAACCTCCCTGATTCTCTTTTTAACAGTTATCTTTATGAAAAGTCGTTTAAGACTTTTCTCCCTGACCTTGCTGCATTCAATTATACCTTTTAATAAAACATGACCTTGGGGCCGGAATCATAGTACAGCAGATAGGGCACTTGCCTTGCATGGGACCAACCCAATTTGAAACCTGACCAATATGGTCTCCCGAGCCTGCCAGGAGTGATTCATGGATGTAGAGTCAGAAGTAGTCCCTGAACACTGCCGGATGTGGCCCCACACAAACAAATAAAATATAAAACCTGACTTAGTTTCCAAAACACATATTTACATTTTAAAAACAGTGGGATCTATGGATTGTCCTGAATTTCATTAATGTAACAACTAGTTGTTTTTCTAGATTTCCTTCTCCAAAGCACTGTGTTCTTCGTGACTTAAATTCCACTCTGTTTTGTATTATTATTTTCCTTGTAATTTCTATCTATACAATTAGAAATTGTAATGTTGATGAATTTGCATCATAATAATTATCATGGGCTGGAGCAATAGCACAGCCGGCAGGGTGTTTGCCTTGCACGCAGCCAACATGGCTGACCAGAGTTCGATTCCTCTGCTCTTCTGGGGAGCCACCCACTCGGCAAAGCCTGGCAAGCTACCCATGATGTATTCGATATGCCAAACACAGTAACAAGTGTCACAATGGAGACGTTACTGGGCCCGCTTGAGAAAATCGATGAACAATGGGAGGACAGTGACAGTGAATAAATATCATGGTTATCACATTTAAGTGTAACTTCTTTGGCTAATTCCTGAACCAAACTGATTCATGACTGAGATTGCTTTTACGGTATGGATTCCTATGTATCCTTCATAGAAATATACCAGAGACCTTAAGATTCTTTCTATTAATAGAATCATGTTCAAATAATTATATTTGAAGCCATTCATAGATGTCTAATATATAACATTTTCTAATTCTCACTTTTATCTTGATTCTTAGCTTAGCTACTCCCGTAGTGGTATTATATTATAACCTATATATCCATTATGATTGCCATAATATGTTTTATGTTTATATATCATATATACTATTTTTCTGATCTACTATAATTTTTATAGAAGAGATTATATATTATTTAAGATACTAGGAATAATTAATACCATCAAATCACTTGATCACTTGACTTCCCATTAATCGTCAGTTTGCTTGAGCGGGCGCCAGTAATGTCTCCACTTGTCCCTGTCGCATGCTAGTGTAGCCCAATGGCATCTGTTCGCTCTAGGAACATGAAGAGCCTCAAACAGATGGTTCATAATCTTGATGAAGTCTGACCATCTGGTAGGTTGGCGCCCACGCAGTCTTTTGACGTCCGTTGTGTATTCGATATGCCAAAACCAGTAATTACAATGGGTCTCATACCATCAAATACCTAGGAGTAAACTTTTATAAAAGATAAGACTTGGACAAAAAGGAATTGTTCCCTTTTTTGAGGGATGTTTGTGTCATGCTCAGTGCTGCACAGGGTCTATTTTTGGCTTTGTGCCTGAAGATCACTTCTGGAGGTGCGGAGGGGGCTACATTTTGGGTCAGGATCAAGCCAGGGATGGCCACAGACAAGGTAAGCACCTTAATCCCTGCACTGTCTCTTGGGCCTGAAAAAGTAATTATTTTAAGTGTTAATGTGAATGAGGAGATGTAGAGGGTTAGCATTTGGCTTCTGGGAATACTTTGGTTGGTAACATGTGGGTCCCAAATCAAATTGAATGTATGAAAATGAGAAGAAAGAAGAA